AATGGTTTAAATGATTTTTTCTGACTAGTGTTTTTAGCAAGGTTTTTTACTGGATGGGGTTGCTAACTCCATCTCTAACCTTCCTCCTTTATCCGAACTTGAGACCGGTAGCAACCTTGAAAGAGCTTCATGTTTGAAGAAATTTGACCAATTTTAACAATTAATGAACGTAACCTAAATTATTGCACACATCTCAATCACATAAAAAGTCATTTGTGAGAAGAATAGCTCAATAGTCCCATTTCAGTTTGTGATACTTTTCTATTCATGTATGAATTATCAGTCTACTCAAGATAGCAGATATTCCTTTTTGCTTTCTCACATATTTCTTGCTAATGTTCATTTTAAACAAATACATGTAAACTCAATAAATATGTGAAAAAGAAAAGGATTTATATATTTATATATTCTTGTTTTACTAATAACATTATACATACTTTTGACAACTGTTAAAGTCATTGAAAACATTTTACTGTTAGTTCGGTTATTATGATTTTGACCTTCAAGATTATGATTATGATAAATTGTGTCATAGTTATTTCAATAGAAGAAAGGAATAACCTACTTAAAAGTAAATACCATATTGACAGTTTTATATATTCGAAATGGTTTTTTTAAAATATTCAAAAAGGTTTACGTCTGTGTTGTTGAATAATTATGGCCTATAATCTCGTACACACATAAATATGAAAAATCCTCCATATTAAGTAAACTTAACACTTTTGTAGAATTGATGTACTAAATCATTTTGGCAATTCTTTATTCGTCAACATCAAAAAGGTGATCATTGAATTGTTAGTTTATTGTCATAGCAATACCTATCACCTTGATATCGTAATTGGATTTCACTGTTGTGATGCACCAGCAGAGCTATAATGGATAGAATACTTGTACATCAAGGATTGACTGTACTAAGGAATCAACAGTTTCTAGGTCCAGGTGCTCAGTATACTGGAGACCATACTGACTGTAGTAGGACCTTTCCAACAGGTAGCCAGATTCTTTAATGATGCTGGTTTTTCACAGATTCGAGGATCAATTCGAAAAGGCAAGACTATATAAAATTTAACACCTTTGTTCCACAAACTACCTGTATTGGTAGCTAGGTCGAAAAAGTTAGGAGCTAACAAATCGTAAAAACACTCGAAAAATTTTGCGATGGGCCTCGACCAGAAATCTCATGAATACAGTCTTTTCAAGGTTATACTATTTATGACCAACTTCCTCCTCCGTTTGCAGTTATTTTTTTAAAACTATTTTTATCAACTTTTCTTCTTTAACTTCATCCCATCCGTCATTCGAAACCGGTGTTAACATATCGATTCTACAAAGTGTTATTCATAGTCTTCAGAGGTGGAGTTTTCAGTCTTCATACTCTGTGTCTTTAGCAGTCAAGACTGTGATCTCATGCCATTGACGTATGTGGTGTATCTGAAAATTTCATGCAAAACCTGATCGTAGTCGTCCACTTGACTTTATCTAGCCGATGCACAAAGTCAGCGAGACTCATTCTTTTTATTTTTTGAGCTTCGGAATTAACCTCCAGCATCCTTTTTATTTTTACTATAATATTAACTCCGAAGGCGAAACCTGTACTCGTGGGCTAAATTGCAACTGACATTCATTTATAGATTTTCCTCTTGATATTTTTATCTCACCGTGTTGATATGGTGTGGACACTTGGAGCTATGGACGTATTTGGTGAGTTCTACATTGTTTATGAATGAAGGATTGCCTGTTACAGTAAGAACTCAAGAGGACAGAGACATACTCCATTAAATTCTCGTAGTATCTACCATTACTTCTTCTGACTGGCTTATCAAAAATCAAAGATGAGTTCTATTGGAAACTTCATAACGGCATTCGTAGATCTAAGCTTGCAAAATTAGTGATTGGGAGACTGAGTTAAGTATTCAGGCATGTGAACTAAGACGGGCTAAAATGTAAATATCGGCTTGTCGGGTTTGTGGACATTGACACTGTTGGATCCTGACTCAATGGTCTAGAGGTCAGGCGTTTGTGAGCAAGGCCGAAGGTCTTGGGTTGGATTCCTGATTCGATCCGTGATTTTAATTGTGACATGTAGATAAGCAAGACCTTTGGCGTTCCAAGCTAGGACACATATAACGATGACTGTCTGTTGTAGTAATGCCCTGAAAACTGTTTAAGTTTATCATGCACCAACCTTACTTATAAGGGAAAACGCCATCTTACCAGTATCATAATAACGATGAATACAGACCATTTTGCTACAGCCTTTGAAGATAATAGACAACTCCGACAACGTTTTAATTCAAGCACGCGAATGGATGCATAACGTCAGATGCAAAAAACAGAAGCTAGAAAATCTCTTGGATGTGAAAACATAAAGGGTTTGTCAATGCATGAAGTAGATTTTGGTTTTGTACACAATGAAGGTGATTTAGTGCAGGCAATACTCACTCATCACTTTAGTACCTCTCTGTCTAGCTCCAAAATGATCGTGTCGTCAGTGATGAAGACGAAATATCTATTTCAATATTCTATATGACTTACTGAGATTCGCCTCCAACCAAATGACGTCAAAAAAGGTGAAGAGCTATGTTGAGTAATTCAGAATGGCAAGAAACATTACAAACTTGGTATATAAAACCATTACTAAGGTTACGATCAAATTACATTGGTTACTACTAGGTGATCGATTGGTGTGAAGCGGTTAGAAATCAGATTTACCAAAAGCGAACACATTTCGAACACATTTTGGCCATAATAACAAACTTACAGCCCCTTGAAAATCTCTGATCTATTCTGTAATCAAATGTTTTAATGAGCGGAAAATGTTCAAAGAATGATTAAATTTTACTGTGGAAATCTTTAGCTCAAATACTGTTTCTCTTATCTGAATTGTATAATATTCTTATAATCTTATTTGGGTAATTTGAAATTTACCCTGACTTTCCCAAATTTCTAACTAGTTTCTATGATATTGACGGTACTCAATCTTACATCTCCTCTTTTCCTCATTCATATTGTCCTCTCACTAAACCTTGACTTATAGTCAAACAACTAAGAATCTTTTTTTCAGAACTCTATTGTTTTAATTATGTTTTAAAATATTTCCGATCTACTACAGATTATGCATATCAGTTCGTAGTGTTTTGTCTGTCCTTACTTTTTTTTACAAACAAACAAGCATGTAAACATGAAACATGTTGTATGTACGCACTGGCAGAAACAAGGCCGGGCAACAATTTAAAAAAGAAGATTGATCCACTAATAATTACCAATCATATAGTGTTTATTAACAATTCCTCAATAATAATAATAATAATAATAATAATAATAATAATAATAATAATAATAATAATAATAATAATAATAATAATGAGTTGTTCGGTTAATTTTCATTGTTAATCAAACTCATTAAACTAGATAAAAAAACAAATTTGTTTTCTTTTCCTCTTTTTTTTAAAAACGGAGTAATTTCATTTACTTTTACTCCCTCTTCATTTTTATTCAAAGCCAAAAGAGATAAACAAATAAACAAACCTACTGCGGTTTAACAAATGAATAATCGAATTTAGAAAACAAACAACTAGTTTCATCTTCACTATTTACTCATTTCCTTTGATTCAGTTTTAAATTTTCCGGTTTTATAAACAAACAAATCGTATAGAAGTAAACACATCAACGTAATCGATCAGTGCATGGTTATGCACACACACACACACATGCACATATGCACGAACACACTAGGACAAATATGCAGACAATGAAGTCACATATTGAGTGTCACTGTCCGTCATTCCTATTATCCACAGTATTATGATTAAGTATTGTTTATATTGTATATTTTTTGTTCAAAAAGAAAAAAAATTCTAAAATATTGACAAAGTGACTAAAAAAATTGGCTGTTGTTGTCATTGTCGTATTATTATTGTTGCCTGTTTGTTTGTCTGTTTATTTATTTATTTATTAATTGGTAGGCACTAAACTGTAAAATAGTTAAGAAATGAAAAGGAAGAATGAAGAAAGGATCATGATTGTGTTTTATTAAAATAGATTTGTAAAAGACAGTAATATTAAGTTAGTTTTCAATCTTACTTCAATGAATATCAATTCATACTCTATACTATAAGAACTATCTACAAAATGTCTTAAACAAGAAGGAATTGTCTAATTAAGTTAAAGCTGGCAATTGTAGAAGGAAGGATCTATGGAAAGTATAAAAAATAACAGTCAGTTGATTTTAATATAAAAATTACTCCAGTGATCCATTCCTAATATATAGTAAGAATTTTGATATTCAAGAAATCCTTAGACTTTTTACTAACTGCCACTCATTACGTTAGTTCATAGTGAAACAAGAATGTAAATTAAAACTAAGATTTCCTGACAGTTTACTGACTAATGTAAATACAACAAATGTGTGTCTGTATATAGATCACCTGCATGAAATTGACAGCTGACAAACTTACCCAGTTGGGTTCCAATAACCAGAAAATAAAATCACATTTATTCTTTACACTCACGTTAATGTAAAACTTTAAGGAATAAACTGGTTACTCTGAAACAATAGCGTTAAGATTTATTGGAGAAAAACTAGGAGAAACAGTCTTCATAGATTAATTACGCAGTTCAGAGGAAAAACTATTTATGAAGCTTTGTTTTAAAGAATTTAGTTTTCGTGATATTTTTAGGAATTGCTATTCTGACAGTCTGAAAGACGTTTCATGTGGTGAATCTTCTTATGACTTATTAAAATCATTAGCTTATATGTCTTGGCATGAAGGATAAATTAATAAGTTTGACTAATGCAGTATGCACAAAATAGTCCATCTGTTCCCGTCGATTCAAGCTCATAGGCAGCATAAATTAATAAAGTAAAGCTTCGTCCAATTACTAAATAACTTGTAGCATATTCAGGAAATTCTGTCTCAGATTCACCTACAGACATCACTTAATCAATGCCTAACCACCATCATCAATGTCAGATTGATCGAAATGATGAATGCGTGCCATTAAATAACAAAGTCATGTAACCAGAAGTTCCAGCGTCCGATACCCAGTTTTTTCATGTGTAAACTATTACTACTACTACTACTACTACTACTACTACTACTACTACTACTACTACTACTACTACTACTACTACTACTACTACTACTACTACTACTACTACTACTACTACTACTACTACTACTACTACTACTACTACTACTACTACTACTACTACTACTACTACTACTACTACTACTACTACTACTACTACTACTACTACTACTACTACTACTACTACTACTACTACTACTACTACTACTACTACTACTACTACTACTACTACTACTACTACTACTACTACTACTACTACTACTACTACTACTACTACTACTACTACTACTACTACTACTACTACTACTACTACTACTACTACTACTACTACTACTACTACTACTACTACTACTACTACTACTACTACTACTACTACTACTACTACTACTACTACTACTACTACTACTACTACTACTACTACTACTACTACTACTACTACTACTACTACTACTACTACTACTACTACTACTACTACTACTACTACTACTACTACTACTACTACTACTACTACTACTACTACTACTACTACTACTACTACTACTACTACTACTACTACTACTACTACTACTACTACTACTACTACTACTACTACTACTACTACTACTACTACTACTACTACTACTACTACTACTACTACTACTACTACTACTACTACTACTACTACTACTACTACTACTACTACTACTACTACTACTACTACTACTACTACTACTACTACTACTACTACTACTACTACTACTACTACTACTACTACTACTACTACTACTACTACTACTACTACTACTACTACTACTACTACTACTACTACTACTACTACTACTACTACTACTACTACTACTACTACTACTACTACTACTACTACTACTACTACTACTACTACTACTACTACTACTACTACTACTACTACTACTACTACTACTACTACTACTACTACTACTACTACTACTACTACTACTACTACTACTACTACTACTACTACTACTACTACTACTACTACTACTACTACTACTACTACTACTACTACTACTACTACTACTACTACTACTACTACTACTACTACTACTACTACTACTACTACTACTACTACTACTACTACTACTACTACTACTACTACTACTACTACTACTACTACTACTACTACTACTACTACTACTACTACTACTACTACTACTACTACTACTACTACTACTACTACTACTACTACTACTACTACTACTACTACTACTACTACTACTACTACTACTACTACTACTACTACTACTACTACTACTACTACTACTACTACTACTACTACTACTACTACTACTACTACTACTACTACTACTACTACTACTACTACTACTACTACTACTACTACTACTACTACTACTACTACTACTACTACTACTACTACTACTACTACTACTACTACTACTACTACTACTACTACTACTACTACTACTACTACTACTACTACTACTACTACTACTACTACTACTACTACTACTACTACTACTACTACTACTACGGCATCTCATGAAAATCAACAGTTTAGCGTTCTTTGGTTTACATTATCTATTCATTGAGTGGTGGCCAATGTTGTGCTTGTCTAGTTTGCAGTGATGATCGAATTCTTTCTGATTTTCTGTGATACTCAAGCTTTGATCGATCCATGACGATTGCTATTATACTTATTTCATCAATAATTAACTTCATAGATGTTAGTGAACGTTTTATTATATATATTATATGAAACGGTAGAATGTTTCGTCAATAGCCTAAAATATTGAGTGATGATTAATGAAATTTATGTCACGTTGACTGATGTTGGAAATGTACTCTATCGGCTTTCAAGTAAGTACTCTGAAGGTATCACTTGAATAAAAATAAAGAGAATTTAGAGAAAACAGTTTTGTTTTCGACGAAATCATTTACTTAAGCTGTATATTCGTATTTATAGTTGTGCGGTAAATAATATATCTATAGAAGGATAGAAAAGATTGCACCATAAAGTGATTAGAGATTAATTATCAAATGGGTTACTTAATAACTGGAGGATGGAAATTATTTATTGGTCAGATTCATGAAATATAATTGTCCGTTTGACAGATATGAAGAAAAACGAAAAACAAAGGTCATAATAATAACCAAGTAGTTATCATGACAAATTGTCAAAGGGTAATAATAACTGATTACGGTTTAAAATTACAAAACACTAATTTTAAAAACAAACAAACCAAAACATGTTACAGAAGAGAATTAGGGCTTAAGAAGGGTGAGAGGTTGGACACGCAGTGTTTCATGCTTGAAATGGTGCATCGCCAATGCCTCAGCAGTGCATAAGTTTTTGATTCGGCTTCCTTTCTATCCAGTTCCTTTGACTGTGTAGATTATTTTAAAAGATGACTCTTTTAGAGCGATGTATTCAGAGTTGATTAAATGCTCTTGTATTGAACATTCTCCTTTTAAAAACCATATCGGGTAGTGTTCTGAGATGCGTTTATAAAGAGATCGCTTCGTGCGGCCCCACATAAGGAAGTAAATTTATAGACACACATTGATATGACCTAAAGTGGAAGTTTATCCTTAACACATCCGTGAAGAGTAGGCCGGCTTGATAAAATAATGCGGAGATTAGCTGAACAGAATATTTTATTCAGGGATTTTGAAATCCGTTTATTCAAGATCATCATTCTGAGTTTAATATCGTATATGATTATAATTGTTAACTGTTAAAGAGTTTCAAACAAAAACAAAACAAATATTCATTTCTACTTGATTTTCATAAATTCTTTGGTTGTATTAAGAAACTATTTACAAGTTATATATATAGCGGGTATTGACTATTTTATTATTGTTCATTAAGAGATATTATTCTTATGATTCTTGATGATTTATTCGGTGATTTACGATAAGGCAAATAATAATAAGTAATAGATTTTATCTAGAATTATTTATATATATATCTGTTATTTTATCGGAGTCAATATCATACTCTGGCTATTTTCTGAGTGTAAAAAACGTTTCAGACAAATTGTACTGTGGGAGTAATTCATATTGAATCATTTCACATGTTATCATTGTTTTCCATTGTACTTCCAAATTGATTAGATGTGCTTCATTTTTAATATTAACTATCGTGATATCTATTATGAAATATACTTGGAATAATAAAAGTACAATAAATTTCATATACTTTAATGTTTTCGGTTACCACACAACCAGTAATATAATTAAAGGATACAAAACTGTTGTAGGTATTTAACTTATTATACCATGCTTCGGTATGATGAACGTAAATGATCGTATATGTGACTAATATCACATTTTTCACATTAATTTTCATCAAAATGTCTGGTTCTAATCTGCTTACACAGTTTCTCGATTTCAATAAACACTCATTACTTAGTCGGCTGAGTGGTTACAGTAGATGTATATTGATCAGGATTCCAAATATCTAGTGGTGTTTACTAATAAAATACAAGATGTTATATTTTTGTAGCATATTTATCCAAAATACTCTCACATCTGGTAACTATTGTTCACATTATCACTATAATATCCCATAAAGCAGATTGGGTAATTTGATAAAATCACTGAATGACTAATATGAACCGACTGAAAATGTGCACATAGGACTAATTCCTGAACATAAATTGAATAGTTGTCGTTGACAGAAATACTGGTTGACTGGACATATTAGCTAATTAAATAATTGTTTATCTACAGAATATTAAAACAAAAGAGTGTTTAATGTCGAATAACAAATGGTTAAAAAAAGATGTGATTTAAAAAAAACAGTTAATAAGATTATACTCCTGACTGTCATATCAGAATGATTCTTGAAATGATTTGAAGAGGTTATTTATAAGAACATTGATTGTTTGATATAATATGAAAATATTTTTAACATTATTAAGGTAACGAAAGAAGAAAATTAAAAAAAATTGCTAAAAGACCTTATTTTAACGTCGTTTTCTAGAACTTATGGAAAGATAACTAAGAAAATGGTTATAATTACCCGTACACTTACTTACTTACTTACGCCTGTCATCCCTTGTGAAAGAGCATAGGCCGTCCACAAGGAGTCTCCATCCAGCTCTGTTCTGGGCAATACTTTCCAGTTCTTTTCAGTTGCTATTCCTTCTTTTCACGCCTGCTTCCAATTCCAGGCGCTTGGTCTTCTTTAACCTCCTTCTTTTCTGTTTTCCCACTGGATTCTAAGTTGGCGCTTACCTACTAATGCAGTTTGGTAATTCCTGCAATGTGTGTCTTATCCACCCCTAACGTATTTTCCGGATTTCCTCTTCATTTGGAAGCTAGTTTGTCCTCTCTCACAGTGGATTGTTGCTGGTGGTGTCCGGTCAACGGACATTAAGTATTTTGCGCAGAAAATTATTTATAAATACTTGTACATTTTTGTTGATGATTGTAGTATTTCACCAAGTTTCAGCTCCGTGCATTGGAACTGTCTTGATGTTCTTATTGAAGATTCTGAATTTGATGTTGGTTGACAGTTGTTTTGAGTTCCATATGTTGCATCAGATCCTCCACATTCTTCGATGATGCTGTTCAGGTACGCAAACGTTTTCACCTATTTCAGACCTTCTCCATCAAGTGTGATTGGATTGGTGTTTATCTGTATTGTATTGGAGGATCATGTTTTTGCACTTGTGTATGTTGAGGCATATTGATACAGAGGCTGGTGCTACACTGGCTGTCTTCATCTGCATTTGTTCATGTGTATGGGATAGAAGGGCCGGGTTATCTGCGAAGTCCAAATCGTCTAGTTGTATGCAAGCTGTCCATTGTATTTCACATTTCCCCTCAGACGTGGAAGTCATCATAATCCAGTCAACCACCATGGGAACGAGAAACGGGCTGTTGCTTCATAGATTATAAATTACGAGTCAAGTGAAGTAACAAAGTATTTTAAATTCACGCATTATTTAATATTTAAGTCTTTATTATGATGATAATGTGATGAAATACAGAGAAACAAAGCATAAGAGGCTTCAGATAATCTTAATCATACAAATTAAATCATATTCCTTAAATAATATAGTAACATGTTCCCCTTTAATTTATACTTCTCTACATCGTACATTGATTTTGACAATTAATTGTTTGAGTCTACATTCGATTTGCTAATTAGTCAATGTAATACCAATTTCGGGTTAGTTCAATCTTCAATACGGAGTGCCTGTTCTCTTCGTATGCGATTAGTTTCTATGACACAGTTTATTTTAACGACAGAAAGTGTTTGAAAATATTAACTATTAATTGGCAAAAATACTTCAATAAATGATACAAATATTTACATAATAATACCAATAACTAAACTACCAACTAAAGTTTGAATCAAATGACGAAAGAATAATAAAAGATTATTTAACGAATTGATTCATGATTTCAACCAGTGAAATTTCTAAAAATCTCCACAAAACCCATTCTGATAATAATCAACTGCTCACTAGTGACTGACTTCAGGAGACACTCCTGGAGTTCTAGTGAGAAGTCGTTACCAGTGGAGTTCAACCAGGTCTGTTGTAAGATAGGAACTCACTGAAGACAATGATTTACGGTGGCGCAACTTCATAGATTGGTTGAAGTTAGACATTAACACCATTGGATGCCGGCCAGCTCAGTGGTCTAGTTGGTTAAGTGCGTGGCGCGAGATTGATAGGTCCTGTGTTCGAATCTCGAGAATGGGGTGGCGGGATCGTGGATGCGCACTGCTGAAGAGTCCCATACAAGGACAAAACGGCCGTCCAGTGCTTCCAGGTTTTCCATGATGGTCTAGCTTCAACTGACTCATGATTCTAACCAATGAAATTGCTAAAAATCTCCACAAAACCCATTCTAATATTAACTATTAATTGGCGAAAATACTTCAACAAATGATACAAATATTAATATAATAATGTCAATAACTAAACTATCAACTAAAGTTTGAATCAAATAACGAAAGAATAATAAAAGATTATTTAACGAATTGTTAAGATTTAATTTAAATTACCCTACCATTAAACACTTGAAAAGTTATTTTAGAGTAAAAACTTATTTTTGCGTTTTCAAGTAAGAAAAACAAACAATTAAATTTGATTGACATAAATAATCAGAAATTAAATGTGATTATTGTTGGTATTTTATTACATTTTATAATATAAAATAATGATGAGATACAGGGATTCCTATAATAATTCAATGATCATGTAAGTAACTGTAAATAAAATTTATTTATAAATCAAGAAAATATTATTTCTAGTAGGTTAGGTATGTTTATGTTGGTAGTATTGAACTGATTAAACTTTAAGATTTTCATGGTTTAAAAGTTAGATAACAATGAGATAGAGATATTATGATTGTGTGCTACTGATATTGATAGATATAAGTAGTATGTATCATCAATTGAAAGTGAAATGTCTGGCAGCAGGAGGTTGAGAAGATCAAAGGAAAGAAAACTAGAATAGTATGAGTGCTTGCTGTGGAAATGAAGGAACAGTGAAGTCTGAGACGATTGAGTGACATTTTGCAA